TTGAAAATGAATTTATTATTGTTGTTTTGAATTCATTTGGTTGTCAGGATGGTTATGAACGCAGAATGACAAATACTGTGAAATCTTGAATAATTAAAACATCAAATTACAGAATTGCTCCATTATAGGCCTGAGGCATAAAATTGAACGTTTTCGTTCAATTCTAACAGTATCATTGGATGTGGACGCAATTTAAATGGTTGAAAAAGGCCTTTAAAATTGATGAGGGCGCTCTAACATGCCTCTGCTCAGAGCTGTAGAGTGTTGTGCCAGTTTCAGACTTGGGAACCAAAATGGAGGTTCATTATGTGTGCTGTCCAGTATGCAAATATTGTATGCTAATTGTCCATGTGCACTGATGTATTATTCACCATTTTGGTTCCAACAATTGAAACACTCACATCGAAGCTCTCTCTTTGAACAACTTTTTCAGATTTGAAACTCACATGCAGTGAACCACGATGGGCGGTTTCTCCTCATGCCACTGTTGAGTTAGTTCCATGAGAGTCAGAATTCCTTGTCGGGAGCTGGGAACCTGTTGATCTGCTGGCCAGTCTTGACATTGGAACTGGCAGACAGTCCGAGCGGGCACAGACTGAAAAGCGTGCGACAAATTACCAACTGATAAAAATCCCTGCATATTTATATGGAGCCTAAACTAAACTGTCTTTGCAATGCCAAGCTTCATTTGGTAGTACAGCAATAGAAGCATATTGGCTACAGGTTTCGTACTTGAAATACTTAACCCAAACGTCAGTTATACAAATAACAAGCCTTAATTTGGCGCCGTGACTTAACTGATCAACGGAAATTGCCATTCAACAGTACTTTACTTGCTAAATGTTATGTTCTTGTTTGTGTCAGAAAATATCACCCGGTTGAATAACACTGTCTTGTTTCCTGTATGGTTGTAAACACACTTTCCTAGAGCTAACCGATCGCTATCATCTTGGCAGCTTAAAAATAAACTCTTAATGACCTATAAAAACTTACCTTTACATTCTTGTTCGTCAGACTGAAGGTGTGCACAATTACGCCCTTGCTCGTGGTAGTCTGTAACAGCTCCACAACCAGCGGTCCGAACTCGACAGGTCCCTCTTCTGGCCAGTAACGAGCCATGCTCTGTTTAGGACGGAAGGCGGTATATTTAGGTTTAATACTGACGAAAAGTGTTCAGTTCGTTTTGCTTAGAGTGCACATGAAACGGTCGGCTCGTTGGGTGTTTCATCAGTTAAGGCTAGGGCAGCGTTACCTTGTTCATTATGTTAGTAAAGCCACCTCACCGTGCATATCTTTCCACATGTACGTTTTTGAGTGCGATTCGAGTCCGTATATGCATAAGCTGCAGAGAGTGTTGATTGAAACTGAAAAGCGAAAAACGGACCACAAAAATAACGAAATTACAACAGAACGGAAAGGTTCCATAATTCAATTTCTCAAACTATTGCACAGAAACATGATTATTGATTTTTTTTAAAATGACTAGAATCAGTTTGTTTGTACAGGTTCCGTGCAGAAAGAAGTGTCCTTTCAGGTCAGACCTACCAACCTGGCCTTACTCCTTCCTGGGGTCAGGCATTACCACACAATAGATTAAAAGGTACTTAAATGAGCCTTCAGTTCATTTAAATTTTTAATCTATTACATGGTAATGCCTGACCTCAAGAAGGAGTACGGCATGTTGGATGGTCTGTATATCAGAGAAAACACACATCGTTGGAAAACATTGTCAGGACTGTGAGTTAAAAAGTTCACCTTGTCCTCTTCATCTAGAGGGTTCAACATGACAATACAGGTCGATTTCTGGTCGTACACCAGGCGCCATATGTCAGCCACGGTGTTAGGCATTGGCATTTGGGCTCCAATGTACCTGTCCTTCTTACGGTAACCCTGAAAAAAAAAATCATCACACATAAATACTGTACTCTAAAAACTTACCTGATGTGTCGATCCCTGCATGCAAAATCACTCGAGCCACTAGACTAGGCAGGAACACGACGTGGCTCATGCTAATGTTGGAATGCCATGGCCATGATCATTATTAGCAGCATAAACAGGTAACCAGTGTCACTGTAATCTGCAAGTACTGCATTTATTCACCACACGATCCGAAACCCACTACTGTTAATAAATGAGGCATATGCAGCAAAATGCCAGAGCAGCAAGAGTGCCGGTAATGCATTATAATAGGCACCTAGATTACGCAGCCGTTTCAGCAGCGTTATGCACGATCGTAGCCATATAAGAACAAAAAGGAGCTTCATCGAGCTGTTGTGGGTAAACGAAAGGATTAATTAAGAATATTCGTGGTATGAATTTCGCAATTTGTCCCCCATTCGAAGAGAACAGTTTTGACAAGTTCTTTCTCCCGCAAATTCTTTGCTGTGAGGTCTGTTTCATTCAAGGAAAATACACTCACTCGGACAAGCTAATAACGCGGAGACATATGACATAATACGAGAATAGATTACCTCCAGGTTCCACACGTTGGCGTTTTGTTTTAAAAAGCCTCATTAAGTAAAAGCGTTGTATAGTCTAATCAGGTGAATTACACGATAAACTGATCACAAAGTAATGAATTAGGATAAATGAGAGAGGCTTCCTAAACATACCGGTAAAAACCTGGCGTTGATGTAATTGGTGTCGCCTTCCTGTGTGTTGGTGTTCAGGAATGGTCTCGAACGATCGGCTGTGTTGCGTTAATCAAAATAATAACATTCAATAATTGCACAATTTCAGCTATACAAGACCAGAAATTATTAATTGCTAGGGAAAACATTGATTATATAGTTTTCCATGTTCTCGCATCAGGACGAATGAATCACTTCAACTTTTAATGTGTGCCCCCTAATATAAGCGGAAGCACTACACACCTAAACAGTCGTTCTTACTAGGAATATTTTTAAAGTGCAAATCCTTGTGTATACTGAAGTTTGTTAAGATAGGCTGATATTAACTGAATGTAACCGCATACAAAGAGTCGTATGTGGCAAAAATTGCTGTATGTATGTAAAGATTCTTGTTCAATGAGAACTAAAAAGGAACACGTATAGCTACTTTATGTAATGTGATTCACTTTGCGTGAAATACCGTGCGTATTTATTAATGTACAGTCATGTCACTCACTGGGAATGAAATCAGGGTACCGGTTCTTGTCAACATTTTCAGGAAGTTGTCCCGCCTTACTGCTATCACTGCCACGACTAACTCGTAGTTTACTCAAGGCCTGACACAAACGATTCAAAAGTTAGAATCAGTCATTATCATGCACTGTTGCAAAAAATACTCTACCGCAGTTTTAATCTGGTATTTGATCTTGAGAATCTTTTTAAAAAATGTGTTAAAGTTTTTACAGCGTCATTTCATATTTGGATAATAACCAGCTGTTTGGAGAAATATAACGGCAGTTTACTGGTATTTGTTCAATTTGAACGAACACACAAGTGGCAGTCATGCAATGGACATTTGCTTAAGTGTGACGTGCGAATACATTCTTGGGCGCTTGACCAACCAAAAGTTTGTCCGTGTTAATTTTCACCTCAAATTGTTTCTCCATTCCGGTTTCCTTGTTGCCCGCTTCCGTTTTCTTCAGGGCGGTCAGCTGTCGACGGAAGGTTGTCATATCGTAAGTGGTCTCACCAGTCAGGGTGGCCGCGAGAAGAGCGTCGAATACAAATTTGTATTGCTCCTAAACAGGCGAGAAAGGTGGATTTCGATTGGCAGATATAAGAAAAAATAGGCCGACCTGGGTTTGAATCGAATAGCTTGTTTTTAGTGACAGTTTTTTCGAGGTCTGAGCTGGAAGAAACTTGGCGGAGCATTACTTGTATTGTACGACCTCATTATGATGGACTAAAATAAAATAAATAAACGTGCTTTCTTTAGTTGTGTTGTTACCGTTACAGTTGTCACTGCTTTTTCTGTTTTCTCTTTTGCAAGTCGCCCCTCGAAGTATCAAATCCCGTTGTATGTAAGTACTTTAAGTCACTAAGTGAAGAAAAATGGAACAGACAATACTGAAGTCCAAAACTATCTTGATAACATCAAGAACTATCAGACTCGGGACTTACCGGAGTCTGCACCATCATGATGCGCTTTTGTCGCATGCGATAGATGAAGCCGAGAACATCCACCTGCCCCTCTTGGTTCATCTGTTCCAGCATGGAGTCTAGGCAGATGTACGTCCCCGTACGGCCCACACCAGCACTGGAAACAATTTAGAGTAGAGACGCAAAACGTGGAAAATATTAGTGTATTAGAAAGTGCTATGGTGGCTACGAGAGCTGTCGTGAACAGTCATGCCGACTTTTGACACTTTTCTGATGAAAAATTCTTAATTTATTAATTTGTTATTTGTCTCAAGAAGGCTCTTCAGGGATATGCACTCATACCTGCAGTGTATCAGTGTCCGTCCGTCGTTGCGTTCAGTGTTCACTACTCGCCGGAAGTTGAGCAAAGGTGCTGGGTACTCGGGAGGTTTCATGTCCGGCCACGTGGTGTAGTGAAACTGCTTCACCAGACGACAGTCTTCCTTATTGTCAATCTGCAGGTGGTCAGTTAAACATCATGGCAATGAGGCGTCCTAGCTGACATCTCGTACATCAATCGATTGGTTCTGAATCTAAGTAGTTCTTACCTGGGTTATTTTGAATTCGCGAATCGTATAGTCAAGGAAGACCTGTTCATTGATGATCGTCACTGTGACGTTAGCGTAAGTGGTGGCTTCGCCATCCGGCCAGTACTGCAAGCACTTTACCTATTACAACAAACGTTTGATTAGATTTGAACAAAAAAGGGTCTCAACCTATTTATTGTAAGCATTGGTACTCGATCATTACCTCCGTTGATCCAATGCCGTTGCTTTGATTTGATTTTACTTTCTTTCTATGACTTCCTGTCAACATGACTATGGCACTTCTTCAAAAACCATAGTTGTTACACTATTAGGTTACAACTAAATAATGTAAAAATCCGATCAGGTTAGGTTACAACTAAGTAATGTAAAAATCTGATCAGACGGCCTGTTGTGGCTTAAATGGAAAAGTGTAATGGAGCGTTGAAATGTTGGTCCAATGTCTAACATTGCTACATTCAAGCAGAGAATCTGAACAGCATTTGAGAGGTTTACAAAGAATTCCTGGCTGTTGATAAAGTGGCCATGATCGGGTAATTATAAATCCATTTCGCCCACCTGTAGGGTAATATGAAGGAAGACCTTTTCGAAACAAATTAACGCACGTGGTGCCCAACAGGATGGAGATAATAACAAACCACACTGCCAGAACTGAAACAGACGGAAGACAGATGTACCTACCTTTCCGTTTTCCACGGGATTTGTCAGCATCACAATCTTATCCACGTTCAACTGCCACACCATCCGCCAAATATCATTTAAAGATGCTTTGTTGGGTCCTAACAAACAACGAAAAATGGTATTTTCGATTACATTTTGAGGCAAGAATTTAATTAAATTCATGTTATTTACTATCGGCTCTAGGGTTGCTTTCGACTTAAGAACTTGATAAATCACCTACCTTGACTTGCAATGTACTTGTCCATTTCGTCATATCCCTGTAAGATTAAACTATGGATAATTACTTTGGCAAAAGCAAGAGCACAAATAACGGTGCTGTATTCTAAGCCATTATATAACTTTCCTGCAAGAACTATTCCATCCCAAGTCAGCATGTCAGAATCCAAAGTCAAAAGATATTCAAATGAACTGTGACAAAAGCATCCGTGTCATTGTTCAGCCAGGTCTTGCTCCTGGACTTGTGAGAGACTCCACTACAGTTCTGTCAACATTTGAGTGGATACGTACGCGTGTGTCCCTAGTCTCGTTATAGCAAACTGAAAAAGCAACTTACATCTATGTAGCAAGCATTTATGTAATCCGAGTGAGGATCGCCCTCCACGGGTGTTAGTACAACACGAGAATGGTCATCTATGTAGAAAGAAACCGATATCAATGGTCAGTATTTTTGGTGGCATTTTACTCGCCTCATTTCTAATCACGAAAACTTCGCAAGCAAATGAACTATACCAACTGCTGATTAACCTCACTTAAACGTCTCAATCGATGCCACGGTTTGGAGTACAGACGAATGAACTTCCGGTGATCAAAACAAGGATACTTATCCTATCCATACTCATTACTCATTATACGCAGGCCAACTGGGCGTGCAGTGTAGCGTGATTAAGACACGTAAGTGAAGGAAGAGCTTCAAGTATGGGGGGCTGGTTATGTTCCGTTTCTGTTCATTAGGGAGCTCTATCGTAAGGTTTCCGAAAGGGCCCAGTTTAGGCTATGTAAAAGAAAGGGATGAACGTACATGCTATGACGTTTGCAAAGCGATTCTTCTGTTTGTTTTCAGGTTTCCTCGCAACAGTCCAGGTGTGTAACTGACCATCTGGAAGAGTCTAAAACACATAGTTTCAGGTTGACTTCCACAGTTCTAAGCTAAAATCTCCTCTGCAGATATTTAGAATAGGGGTTTTTCAATCCTCACCATAAAACTCCAAAAGAGACGTGTAGAGATGTCCATGTGTCCCTGCATATGGAGAGCTCTACTGAATGTCTTAAATCATGGGATTAAAGGGTTACTTTGACAGTTTTTATCTTACTGCATTTTTTTTTATTTTGCCATTGCATATCAAACATGTACGAGACACAGTTTCACCTCTTCATGCCAGGACTGAATCTCCTTTTCAGGGGATTTTGACTTAGTTTCCTCACTACAAAGCAACACTGATAGTTCACCATAACGAAAGACAAAATTTTACAATTATGGCCAATGTTTCAATATCAACTTTGGCTGCCCCATCCTTGAATAATACTGGCGATTCACAATAGTGCGCCTCCAAGAGTTTACAGTGCGTTCACCAATCACAACACGCGAAATCTGTCGACCCTTTCCAAACGCGCATTGGGACGACAGATTGCGCATTGTGATTGGTCAACGCGTTGCAAACTCTTGGAGGTGCACTATTGTGAATCGTCCCTATTAGTAATAGTATTTAATTAATAGTATTAATAATATTTACCTATTTTATAAGAAAGATACATTTTAACTTGATATGCTTCATAAAGTAAATTTTTAACCAATAATTGTCTTTAATATCACAAACGGCTGATGCAGTGTGCGATGGGCATTTTTCCAGGGTTTGTTTTACAATGGACATACACGTGCGTTTCTTCAAGTGAGTCAGGCACCGGGGTCTTTACCTTATAATCCGCCTTAAATGCTTTTCCCCCAGCCGATTCCTTCATCGTTATGTAGTCAGCCAACTCGTCGATACTGACAGGGGGCGGCTGGTGGAATGGCGGCTGTTGGGGTGGGGAAGGCTCCGGCTCAGGTGTCTCTGATCGTGGTGTTTCTGAAGGTATAGGTGGTCTGCTTGGATGCCGGTCATTGGGATCGTCGTAGGCATTCGAGGAGATTCCCGCCACTTCTCCTAAACCATAACAAAAATTCATTATTCCAACTAGCAAATTTACCTAAGAGTTAAATTCATTAGCTTTCTGGGCACACATAGTTCAAAAGCGAACATTCTCTTCTCGCTGCGGAATATTTGTGTGATTGAGGATACACACACCCAGGACGATTCGTTAATTGGATATAGGCCTATAGAGAAATAAAACAAGGTGAAATAGAGACTTCATTAAATTAACACCCATCTTTATTTTCAAATGAACAAAGTTGTTCTACTGGGTAAACTTGATGCTTTGTGAACAGATTACTCGAAAGGTGTATAAAAACAAAGCTACATACCTAGGGTGCCGTTTTGTGTTTTCTGTTGTAGTGGGTAGTCTGGAGAGGGTGTTAATACGCCGTTATAGGGAGCGCGTTTCCGGATTTTGGTTCTTCTGCTAAATAAAAATACATTGAAGCGATGTTGAAAGTTGAATTTAAAAAAATTACAAACGATTTGTCGTGAGATTTCAGCACTAGCAATTACCTCTTGTAAGCAACACCTATGACAGCGGCGACGACGACTAGGACCAAGACGACCAACCCTGCCGCAAGTCCTGCCGACGAACTGCCACTCTGCGGCGAGACTGTGACAAAATCGGTGAAAAGTTATCACACGAAATTGGAGAGACTTCTTTACAACTCTTTACCTTCACCTTTCACGCATATTTGCTGGTGCAATTCAACATTTGAAGAGTCTGCCTTGTTCGCATACCATCGTTCAAGATGGAAGTTGCTAACGCATTAAGTTTGTTTTTGCTAAAAAGGGAGCAAATATCAACTCTGGCTGTAATGATCGTTTAAATAATACAAGAATAGGTGGAAATGAAACAATGTTTTCAATTTGATCTAAATATAAATGAACTGTGTTTGTGGGAAAGTAGAAACAGAAGGAGCCTATTTGTGTAAATTTACCTGATACTCTTAAGGGCGCTGAAAATGTCACCGAGGCCACCTGTAAGAAGGAAATATTACTGATGAATTGACAGAGAAAGACAAATATACAAAAAGCTATAATATACTCTGAAAATTCGGAAAAAGTGTGCGCTCAGATCAGGGAAGAATATTTGTCATTTCACTCGATAGTTTGATTAACGTCGGCCTTTCAAAGATAGTCACATTACATTACTTTGTTTGATTTGGGTGAGAACAAAATGCTTGCAATCAAAGTGCAGCTACTATCATCTCCAAATATTACGAAGGAGAACAGGTGTTTGTTTTGGGCAAATGATATCTATAATTCAAAACTGCTCCTTATCAAGTTCAGCTTCAAAACAGAGAACTGCTGTTTTCAAACAAGTGTAATATGTTATCTTGTATTTGAGGCAAGGAGACGATTGTGCATTCAGAGCATCTCTGGTCTTGCACTTCCAAGTGACATTTTTTTTTTATTTTCAAGAATTTCCTACCGTCTGGTTTCCCCTTGTGACAGAGCCCACGCGAATGTCGTAGACATCGTTTGTCCGCAGTGGTGCGTTCAAGTAATCCCCGTAAACTTTGGAATCGCCAACGACGAAAGAGCCAGACATCATTCCCTTTGTGAGTTCAGCCGCAATGTAATCATCCGGAGAATCGTCGACATGCCTCGGAATTAAGGCGTCCCTCCTCGTCATTTGGGAAGACTTCTTCACTTCGACAATGTAAGATCTAAGTAATGTGTAATTTAAGGACCAATGTTTACTGTGTGAGATCAAACGCTGTCACATGTATGTTAGAGGATCTGGTGCACTTATATTGAAAGTAAGTCAGGTGTTGTAGGCAATCAAATAAAAAACTGCGTAAATTCATTCACTTTCTTACATTATGACATGGTAATTAACTTGTAAATAAATGAGGCACCAAAATGTCGCAAACTATAAATGTCAACATTATACTCCTTGAGCATAAGTACTTCCTCATCGATTGAAAAGAGCCGCGTTAGTCGGGAGTGTTCAATTTGTTGGTAGCGATGCAACCGTGCACGCATGCTTTTCCTAGTCGTTCGTGAACCAGTGAAGTTCAGTTCTGACCAAGGGAGTCTCTGTTGCTGAGACAATAGCGCCTCTCTTAGTTCATCTCGGGGTCCATAGTGTTTTTTTTTCTAATTTCCACCAATATTCGTTGTTCATTTTTCCTAATTTGCTATGTATACCTAGTATTTACTAGTTTATTCTTAATGCTTTTCAGTTTTGTATTGATTTCTGTTTTGATTCTTACTCAACATAGGTGTCTCTTCGAGGGATGGCCGACGCTAGGTCAATCGTCACCGTGCTTTCCGTGGTCTTGCTGTCAAATATCACTGGCATCGACGGTGCAGGAGGTTCTAAATACACATCCCAAAGGTAACATTTGAATCATCTCGTGTCGAAACTTTCGAAAGTGTTTGAGTTATACATTGAACAATGAATCTCACCTTGCTGAGGTAATGTGTACGCCAATAACGCGTCCGGATTTCCAGCGAATCGGTGATTCTTTGCCAAAACCCGGAACTCGTATTTTGTGCCAGGCTCGAGGCCGTCTCTTGTAAAAGGTGAACTGTCGGCTTCACTTTGCACGTACTCGACCTCTGGGGTGAAATCTGGTTGATACGGTTTCTCCAGGGCCCTGTACTCCACCTTTACAAATTAGCCAGAGTGTGTTTAGAAGATTTTATCCAGAAATAAAAACTTCAGCTGCCAAACATTGCATCAGTTCTTTCGCCAAGTCTTTTGGGAGGATTCCTTGAGTTCATTTTTATACTTTTGGCGTCTTTTAACAACGCGGGTGACTTTGCAAACAGCAGTAACAAACATGTAAGTGAGCTGAGAGACAATTCTAAACGAAAACAGAACAAGATTTTACTGAGGTAAACATTTCATAGGCCACCAAGCCTCAATCATGAGAAATGAAATTGCATCATCGTAGTAATGGCTCTCCAGTGGTCTTGCATCCGCCCTGTTATAATGTTATATTACTTTCTCGAAAAAGAGTGAACCCTTGAGACCATATAGTGGTATCGTAAACGTCCATTTGCAGCTGAATTTGATGAGACATGAGACATTTTATCAAGCATCACCATAATTTGAAAGAAACTCGCTACGTGTGACAATTTCTGTATACAGTGCATGTCGGCATGTCATACGTACGGAATATCGAACATTTGGTCCATTGATAACCAGTGGTGGGTCCCAGTGCAAGGTTAGCGACTCTTCTGTTGCATCTGACAGACGGAAATTGCGAATGGGTCCAGGAACTGATAAGAAAACAAAGCGAGTGTGTTAAAGGACAGTTACAGGTAACATCCCCTGCTCCACGGACAACTACAGCCAGAATTTGTGCCTTTTTTAAACTCAGTGTTAGATTGTAAAAGCACAGAGTTGACACAAAGAGTGAGTTTTATGCATGTTGCTGTATGCTTGTAAACACTCTACCACAATATGAAACAACCCGTTTTCTTAAATGCTACGAAAGAGTGGTTTTGCTTTTTTGTTAATTCGGTCTTTTAAAGAGTTCTTCGATTTTCGCAAATCACATAGGCCGAGCTCATCGGTTATGGACAATTAATTATTTCAGCTCAACACAGAGTCAAGAGGCTTCCATAAATAACAGTCAGTAGGCCTTCGGAATATAATGAACCGACTTTACTTCGTGTGGCTGCCATCTTATTGCTCAATACGGGCAATTCACAATAGTGCGCCTCCAAGAGTTTGCAACGCGTTGGCCAATAACAACGCGCAAAATTTGCCGACCCTTTCCAAACGTGCATTTGGTCGACAGATTTGGCGCGTCATGATCGGCCAACGCGTTTTAACTTTTGGAGGCGCACTGTAGTGAATCGCCCGTATTGGGATTCGGGTTTGATTTCCTTCGAATCTGACCTACCTCCTACAACAATCTCGGTGACAACTTCACTCCACGGACCTGCACCTACTGAGGTCTTTGCCCGCACCTGTCGAAGAATGGAAACGAATTTCGTGATGCACCGCTGGTTTTCCTTTCGAACTATAAACACGGTTAAAACACTTCGGATTTCGAGAAATGCGGCTTTAAATTAATAATGTTTCCTGTAAAAGATAACCCTGATAGCTGGGTTCATAATGAGACTTTTTTCTTATTATTCGCATGAATATCGACTGTAATATCAATAGCAGAATCCTCGTTTTGAAAAACTGAAAAGCGTTTTGTATTAATCTTTTATATCATCGCTTATGTCGTAAAAATAAACAATACGTTATAACCAGGCAAAAACACAAAAAAATATATTTACCTGCATGGAGTATGTCACATTTATTTCAAGGCTGCCTAATTCGTAAAATAAATTCGATGTGCCTATGTTTGTCTCCTCCATCCGGGTTGAATCTCGCTCGTTCGCCAGTAGGCAATATCATAGTTGGTGATGACCCCGTGTGGGGGTTCAGGCTCCGCCCACTCTACCGTGATGGAGTCCTCATCAGCGCCCCTAACGGCGAAAGCCCGTGGGGCCGTTGGCTCTGTAGACATGACATTATATCAACGACGCAGTAACAATGATTTCTGAAAGAGCTTATCATTTGGAACTGAATAGTCATCGTCAGTCACGCAGTTCGACTATATAAAGTCTTCTCTAGCCCTAGCCCAAGCCCTTGCAAGGAATTTTCCGTCCGTATGCTTTGTAACTTGTTTTTAGCGAAGTTTATATCCGAAAGTTCTTCGGTTCTCAATTGTCGTCTAAAATTCCCAAAGGTTAATCCCAAATTGCCAAAAGTCTGAAAGTTCTTTAACAAATTTCCATTTTGTCTTTACCACTCCACGACCAAATTATTTGCTTAATTACTTAATTGCGTTGTTTCCAAAGGCTTTTATGTCGTTTTTCAAAGATACATATATTGTTGCAATTGTTTTTGACATCAAATAATGTTCATTCAACCCAACGTACCTGCTTCTAGTGTTTCTACAATGATACTGTCGCTGAGAGGCAAAGATCCGGTATCGGTTGCCACGGCAACTTGGAAGCTGTAATTGGTGTATGGTATCAGACCCTCTAGGGTCACAGAGTGCAACGTTATGCTGGACTGTTTAAGCGTGGTACCCGACTTCAACTCGACGAGTTTGTACGAGTATGCCGTGACGGTACCACCTTGGAAACCACAAGGAGGTCGACTCCAGGAAAAGCTCAGGTTGTGTTGCATGACAGAGGTTGCTGTCACCTCAACAGGAGTAACTTCCTGTCCTGATAAATAAAACAAAAACGCACACACCAGGACTGCTTAAATCATAAAGCAAACTTGCCAATGTAATTTTTCTTTGGGGGAGGGTTAGAATTTCTTTTAGTTATGCAAAGACTGACAAGGAGAAAATTCGTCGTAGACAAGGGCGTTCTGTACATCAAGAGATTAAACTGGGCAGGCCGTTTTGGGTGAGATATTTTAAGCTGGTTCTTACTTGAACACTGGCAGTTGATTCCATAGAATGACGAGTCGCAAACACCGTTGCTGCATTCTCCGGTGTCTTTGCTGCAGGTTTCCCCGGATGCGCAGTGGCACGTCTGCTTACAATCCGCACCGTATTTCCCTTCGGCGCATTCTGGAAAACGAACCGAAGTCGTATATCCAGACAGTGCAACCAATAATCTCCATGTTTATCACAAAAAGCAACCAAGGACGTTGGCGGCACGTATCGTCCATGCCGTGTCAATTAATTATTAGGCCGATCGTGGCCATGTGCTTTATATTTTCGGAGGAGTATATAAATGTCACTGATCCGAACTTTTAAGCATATGATAAAAATCTGCATTTGGAAATACTTTTAAAAATCTGAATCCATGTTCGTGAAAGCCACTGACAGCTACAGAGAAGTGTTATTCGGGCGCTTCTTAAAATCTCCAAAAGAGTTGTAAACTTTGTGCTTGAAAATTGCTTCTCAACTGGTATTACGCCTTTCCTATACCCCTTTCCAAAGCCCCCACAATATCGTTTTTTTTTTAAAGTGACATGGAATACGTGAATCAGTTTTGCTTTTACATGAGACGCACCTAGCATGCAGTCTAATCCTGTGTATCCTGCAGCACACGAGCATCCGTAAGGATCCGGAAGACAAAACAAACGACCACGGCAAGCCTCGTCGTGTGGATCAGTGCTGTTGGAGCAGCGATGACGAGCGTTCTGGCCGAAGACGTTACGACCATGAACTGTGTACAGAAATACCGGTATAGAAAATCAGCTAGTGTTGTAATCTTTCATTTCTCGAGCTTATTAATGAGACAAGGTTTGAACAAAAGGCCAGTTGTGAAGCTTCACTCACGGTCCCGACATCCTTGCTTTTATTTCGTAGTGTTATTTTCTTAGGGTTTTGGTGCTAATATTTGACATATATCGATCACTTTCTTTCCTTCTCATTATATGAGGTATTCTTTAACAGGGGGGCAAGTTGCCCCTACCCCCTCCGTTAGACACGCCCCTGTTTGTTAGTGACTGTAATTGGATCTGTGTCACGTGAATCTAGATCTCGATCAGTGATCCTAACGCTAGCTGACTCCGTCTATTCCGCAGATTGTGGTGTCGGTGAAACCAACGACGGATTACTGGTCCAGAGTCGGATCCAGTGTGAAACAAACAGGACCGTTGTCAATTGCCGACATGGTGTGGCTCCGCTATGCATAATAAGTTGAAAGTAATGTCCTGCGCAGAAGGATCAGTTGCCATTACCTTTTTCGCAATGTTTTCCACCAAAACCTGGAGCACAGACACACGAGCCGGTGCTGACGTCACACACTCCTCCGTTGTAGCATCGACGACAGATCTGCGTACAGGAAGGCTGCTCCCACATCCCCTCTGGACAACCTGATTAAAGTGAAAAGACATCCCGATTGAAACTGGATTTGAGCGCCGTCAAATGTTGTAAGGCATCGTCGAGGAAGAGGATGTCTTTCCTAGGATGTGACTGGACTAACGCAATCTCGGATGTTGGTGAAATTTCTATGAAAGAAACTCTAACATACTGTTTCATATCAAAATGAAATGTACGGATACACACCTCGCACAATGAGCCTCATGATGCCATGCAGTTGTTGAGCCTCCTGGTCGGTCACGGAGCAACTGTAGATTCCTCCATCACTGACGGCAACATTGTCGATAGATACACTGAGTTGGTTATCCCAAGATGTGATGACGTCACCTTCATCTTTGCGCCATCTGTAGCTTGCGGTCGGTGAATTCACATCGCGCATCTCGAGTCGAACCGAGTCTCCGACGCTCACGGTCTGCGTTCGCTCAACAGGACGGATGTGAACGCTACCGTCTAAGCAGGAGGACAAGCAAGTTTCAGGTTGAACATGGTGGGAAATCCAACATCCGAAGCGGAAGCCACAACGAATATTATTCATTTTAATTTCACAGTATTTTGGCGATTAGGTCGATGAAATAACATACGGTACGTCTTGAAATTCACCGGTAACACGTTCATTGGATATTTTTGCCGATATTTGATAGTTATTTCTGCGGGGAGGTCTTGTGGAAGGAATTTCACCTATTACGACACACTACAAGCTAGTTTTGGAATGAAAACAGTTGTCTTTTAAACATGTAAGCCTAAAGTAACTCTCATCGGGGTAATTTGACTGCTTTAAAACAAGAGTTGTAACCGTTATGATTGGTTTAATACTAACCATCTTCGGGCAAAATGATGCTTTGAATTCTTGTCTTGGTGCCCTTCCTGGTTCCTTCGAAGTACAACACACCGACCCTACTGATCCCATCCGCAGCGGGTAGTCGAAGCGATCTAGCCGTGCATCCCAGAGACGGCTCGTCTTCTTCAGTCGATCCTGACGGAAGTCCGTTCAGTCCACCTGTTGCTAACTGACGGCCAAATGTGACACCGGCAATGATGTCATTTGGACCTTTGTACGCCGTAAGGACAACATCGTTGCCTCCAGACGAGTCGACGAGAGCAGGATTGGCGACAAGCGTAAAATCCACTGAAAATTATGAAAGCGAACCATTGCTGTCAAACATTTGAAGACACGACAATAAACATCGAGGAAATCCGAAGAGGAATATAGTCGTCTTTAACATCCCTTCTTGTTCTGGAATCAAGGAGCGATCTAAAGATGCCCAAATAATACCTTTATTGGCATAATATTAAAAGTGCAGGTTTCAGTTGGTACTCAGCAAAATTCTCGTCAAAACTATTTCGGTTGACGTTTTTACCTTCTGGTAGATCACATGGAAACACAAATATTTCGCAGAGTGGAAGGTACGTAGTCCTCGGGATATCGACGCTGACGTATCGTGCTGTCAAGCCGTGAGGCGGACTGCAGTCAAACTCCATCCAGTTATTGGCTACGGCTTGGTATTGGGTGACCGGACTACCGCACACGGTGTTGTCGGTGGGCACACTGCTCAGACCTGCACGCACGACGGCGTCTTCGAAGCCGTATCGACCGCTCACTGTTCAAAATATTGTAGATGTAAATGAAGTTTACCAAAAACCAAACCCCAAACCATTAGATTCGACCTGCTGTATAAAACTAGACTGCTGACTTGTACCAAGCATGTACCATAACACAAGACCCTTACTCGTGAACTAACAGGTTGGACGTGGGTTTTTCATCTGCACGTTGTCTGTCTTTGAACGGCGACTCCAAAGATTCGAGACTCTCATTATTTAATTAAACTTATACGAGATCAGATACTGCTCTAACACTAATAGACTATAATACAACAAACGCCAGAGTGTCCAAAAGAAGTACATTTATATTATATCTTCATATATTCTCCCCATTTTCAGGCTAATAAACGGTTAACTGACAAAAGTTGACGTGTGCCAGTCTGTTATTATAAGCTATCAAATTCAAATCCTCGACCTTCGTACAAAAGTAGAAGGCTTAATCATTTAAATCGAGGTCTCACACTCGGCCGGGTTCATTGGTAAAATACTAAAAATTTTAAGTTTGTGTGAATTCTTGAGAATTTCATGGGATATAGGGGTAGATAAAGTTGAATCATGTGTTTTGTTTGTTTGTTTGTTTTTCGCCCTGTAATCACAGTCTGACCAATCGACCCCTTTAAACGCAAAAAGGAAACAGGGAATCAGCTTACCGTACGTGGCATCCCGGCTCTTCAGTGTAATTCTCCGAACACACTGATCAGCTTGCAGATCTATTTTCCACCACGGGTTTGGTTCAGAGGCTGAAAAAAATTTAAAAGGACAACTTTATATGTTGGCGTTAACATTGCATACAAAAAAACTTTTTGTTTAAGATTGATAAACTGTTCTGGTCAAACAGATCTCATGGGTGAAGTTAGAATACCTGCTGGAAAGGGCTTCGTCCATCGGAAATAAATGATAGCTTTGACTCTGCCGTCGTAGACGTTTATCCAGTATATTGCAGACGGTATTCACGGGGAAGCAATTTTCGAGCATGTTCCCGGAATCTATCATACTCAATGTAATCTGGTAAATGGGTTGGTGCCAGACTATTTTAAGGTTCCAAACCCCACGTTTATATTTTAAAATTTGGCTTTAAAAATTAGATATAATTTAGAACAAATCAATCAAAATTAATCACTGGCATAAGTTTATAATGAACTTCGAATACATTGTTCTTATTTTACCCTGTAAGGTTCCGAAAGTGAAACGTTTACCCCACTTTCAATTCAAGATGGTCGACGCATGAATACAGTCTATTGAATTCTTTGCCTGATTAGCTGTATGCCCCGGCAGGTCACCCCCTGCATAGCGGTCTACCTGTTTGGCTGCAGTAAGGGTTGTCGTACTCCGTTTGGACAACTCCGTCCACGGCTCGATCAGCCGTCCAATCCACGCCTCCCGAGTAACGGAACGATGAACTCTGAGAGGCAGCATCCCCACGCAGCGGGATGGCTTCAGGACGGAAAGCAAAGGAGATGAAACGGATATCTTTTCAATTAAACAGAGAATGCTTCCCAGCTCCGTGCAATCCATGCAGTCGATTTTAGTTACACGAGTTTAGTTCTGAGAACAGTGTTCCTGTGTAAAGTTTTCTCAAAATTGGACAGTTTTAGAAGTAGGCCATCATTCAGTTTGCGACATAAACCCATTAAGGGTAGTGAACGTTATCTAACCTCAGGGAGGATCCAGGAACCTTTTTCCAAGGGGATCGATCATGCCCCTGAGAATTTTTTTAATGTCCGATTGTTGCGGACAGGCAGAGACATATAATTAATTACATATTTAATGATGTAAAACCACAATTCTTACAAGATGTCGTCTTTTTATTGCAACCTGAATTGTTATTTCATTTATTTATTCCTTTTTCGGGGCAGCCCCTCCCGGATCTGCGCAGGCCCTGACCCTTAATATGAGAGGTATCAGCTGATGGACCGTGAGTGAAGTTCCAAGAAACTACGGAAATTAAAACATCAACGCGGACACGTGAAATGTTCGGTATTTCCCTGTTTGATTTTAATGTTTCCTTTTACTGAAAAGAAAAATGAAACTGACAAACGACTAGATTACGTGTTGTTATTAGCACAATTCTACTTTCGATAACTATACCCACTTAATAGTTATCAACAATAAGTGTAATTCCGTTGCCACCATTTTTCAAATACGATACCTCAGGAATTTAAAGTGAGACACGAAAACGTCACGTTAGTTTCATGACGCAGTAGCATGGTGCAATGCAAAATTGTCATGAATATGGAAATCCCACAGCATATGTATCAAATGGAAAACAAACAAAAAATCACCGGTGGACGCTGCAGCCTCTTCATCGATGAATTCGTCCACCATGACCTCACCCATGTGTAGGATGTTGTCCCCGGGGATATCAACACTCACGTACCGGGCACTGACAAATGGGTCGGCAATCATCGTGATTACTAGGTCCCCGTCGGATGATTCGGTTTGACTGATCGTGCCTAGCTCCCTGTTGGAAACGCGGTCTGGATTCAGTCCGGCACGTACGATGCCACCATTTATGCGGACATCTGAGATATGAAAATACAATTTCAATATGAGTGCCGGCGGGTTCGAAACCCATTATTCAGTTGGATTCTGCTTTTGAAGCTCAAAAGCAGATCCACACGAAGAAATAGAAAATGATACAAAACTCAACAAATTTACCGTCAACTCCATAAAATCTGGATATTTCCATACTGCATGGGTAGTCCAACCAATAATATTCAATAAAACACCAATGGGTCTCATCATTGGAAAATAAAGAAATGTAAGAAATTAAAGTTAGATTCAATAAATAATGAGAAGTCTGTTTGAAAATACAATTAATACAGGACAAATGAATTTTCAATTCGTCTAAGAAAAAAATACAGTTATTTTTTGGACACGATACCGAATGTAAGTTTTTTTAATCGTCATTGCTGTGTATATATGTTGCAGTAAACAGGAAAATTGCAAAGCATAAATGTAACAGTATTAAAAATTCACGAGTGTCAACCCAATGCATGCATGCGACAATGAAGATTGGAAAGTTATGTTTCTCAAGTATAATTGGAAGAGAATTTGCGAGAAAACTGATAGAGAAATTGTCAACTTATATCAAACATTACTGCAGAGCGTTTGTCGGGAAGTAAGTTCTGGAAATCATATTTTTCTTTTCAGTTGGACCCATCATGAAAAATGCGGTCATCTAAGAGAAGGGGAAAAAACAGACTTGAGGAGGGTTTCATCGGAAAATTGCGGGACTGATCCCGGTTCAAATGGTTATTTCTCTTCTGTCTTACCATGCCGGTCCATTCTATTGATGATAGTGACTTTCCTTATGCAGTAGACGGCCTCCAAGTCCAATCTCCACCAGGGATCCTGCCTCTGATATGAATACCTCCATGCTGCTCGCAAGGCAAAAATGGGACAGAAGCCCCGATTACAAATATGTCACCATGTTTTTGTTTGTAAATACGGTTGGGGGGAACACTTAGCACAATAAGGGCAATTCACAAGAGTTTGCAACGCGTTGACCAACCACAGTGCGCAAAATCTGTCGACCCTTTCCAAACGCGCATTTGGGATGGAATTTAGTTAAGCCAGTTTTAAATTCAATTTTGGGGAATATTATACCAAATGACGGGAAACAGCACAGTTTATTAGGCAAGATAAATCTTCTACCCAACTTCACGTTCAAATATACACGTAGATTATTTTATTACGCAATTATACAGGAGATATATAAATTGTGATAGTGAACAGGGATGAAATTGATTGTAATCACGTATGCTACTATATTGTAAAGCATTGGTGGTGTGATAAAATGGACTCTCCCTCTGTACTTATCCATCCCGAGCTGAATTGCACCCCTAATCGGCAAAAGAAAGACAGGTGGCTGCAAGCGGGTTCTTGCACGCGTTCTGCGTGTATGCTAAAACCATACATGCCGCAATAAATTAGTTACGCGTACTCATCGTGCCCCGCGTCAAACTCGCATATACCTGTGCGTCTCATGGCACGCCTATGCGGTGAATATAAAAAAATTAAAAAATAAAAAAAATAAAATAAAACGCCCTCTTTTGTTCCGCTTGGAGTGGATACTCTGTACTAGTCCACATTATTAGAATTTAATTTCGGAGGTGGGAGCCTTCCAAATTAAGTAGCATTTGTTCTCTGTCCCGTATATTTGGTTCTGTGCAGAATAAGACAAGTCTGACATGTAATGGAGAGCCACTGCAGAGGCGGAACCAGGATTTTGTACTGGGGTGGAGTAGGAAAATTATTCATCGCCTTTAATGAAGCCATTTAATTTGTTTGTTTAGTCCTGAACCGTACACGCAAAATAAGACCCCTCAAGGCTACGCGTTTTAGGAGGCTTCAATCTTAAGACCTTGGATCTTAAACAAGGAAATGAAAAAAAAATAAATATGAAATTGGCAATGGGATAATCCGACCCCTCCGATCATCGCCGTTATGGAATTTAAACAACTCAAGAAAACAACTGCATCTTAGGCCTTTTTTGAAAACGAGAGCCGCTTAGGCCTAAGGAATGCAAACATTTCAGCCTGCTAACGAAGTAGTAAAGTATATTCACCTGTATGGGTGATAGTGGTGATGTCTCCGTCCACCGCCTTCTCTGCCCCAACATTAGAAGCAGAGGTAGTGCTCTGTGATGCTGGCTTGGATCGTACGTCCAAGGAAACACCTGAGCGTTATTCGTAAGGGGCAAACAAGGAATTGGAGATACACGTACCTGCATGGACGCGAATGCACTCACAAATATACGGAAGTAGCCATTATATTACTCCAAGTATGGGCAAAGGGGGAGATCCCCCCGAAATAATCTGATTGGGGGGGGGGGGGTTGAAAAAAGGGGAGTTGAAATGTGACAATTCACCATTATTAGCCTGACAAAATAAAAACTCAAAAGTTGAACCCCTTCCGCTGCTCCTTATGGTTTTTCTGTTCGCAGTTATGGGCCATAAAAGTACTTCCCCCTCGGAAAATCATGGCGACCAGCGCCCGTGAAACCAAGATGCGATATGCTTGCTACGTGTGCTATTATAGCAAACACGGGACATGGAGTCATCAAGGTTACACACACGTGCATACGGGGAAGTGGAAGCTGGTCGGTCACATTGCCAAACAAAAAAAATCTCTGATGTTTGAATCGGACTAGACACAGCAAAATATCAGCAGTAACGAGAAGAATAAAAAGTGGGACAAACAATGACAGATTGCAACTTTTATTTGCTCTGAAACACCTGTTCTTTCAGAAGTCAGAGCCCTCATAATGTCATCAAATTCAACTCTGAACCATATCAGCATATCAGACACTTGTCCGAATCAGATGCCCTGCTCTTTACATGGTTTGTGCATTTTCTTTTCCTCATCTTTCTTTGAAGTTTTTTTATGACTGACTGGCTGCTTGACGGTGACTGATGTACTGAGTGATTCATGATTGATTTGATTGATTAGCAAAATTGCACTGATAAATTACCGTCTGCCGCACTCCTTGTTTGCTGTAACTTAAGCAAGTTAATACCACAGTCTGCGATTTGTTTACGCAATCACGCATAAATGATTTGTTTATTGCGCAACATCATTGATTTTCTACTTCTCATTTCCTCTTACATTTACACTATACCGCAATTTTGAATCTTTTATTAGCAGAAGACCGTATCTTCAGACCAAAATTGTTTGCTCCCGTTGGGCAGTACTTCATGACTGGGTTCGAGTGAGACGTTAAACAATGTTAAAAACACTGCGAACGAGTTATCATTTTAATCCCTTTGCCTGCTGGGCCCGGGACGTGAGAGTGCATCTTGTCAATATTGCAGAGCTACATAAAGAGTTGAAATAAGTTATTTTTACAGCGTCGATCAGGATTTGAAGGCAGTTAGTGGGTCTCTGGGAGTCGGTCTATGCATCTATGCCGATTGTCGGTGTCGTTTATGTATTCTCCCTGTAGGGAGAATACCACGCCGGGTGTACTAATTCCGGACAAACTTTAACAGTTCTGTCAAAGAAATTTAGTTCGAATGGAATGGAAATAACTATTCTGGGCAAAAAGAAAGTCAAGAGGGATATAGAATACTTCACTTACCATAATCCAAGTGGCACCCAGCGATCCAAAGTAGCAGAATTCCCACTCGACTCCAATGGAATGACGAGTAAACAGCCATGACATTTATTTCATTCCTCACCGATTCCACTGCAATACACGCTTTATACTGGTCACTGTTGTGTATGGTTATGAACGTCCCTTCACGCGAGCTCAGTTCCTCAGTGTTGGAGCTACAAAATGGCCTGACCTTGTCCACTGCTTGTACACAATTGCCTTTTCTGAGCGGCTTTTGTGTCGTTGTCCAACTGGGAAATCCCGGGGTTAGCTCGCGGTTAGGTGGATGGTGGATCGAATGCAAACACTGTAATCCACAGCCAAAGTACTTCCTGGTTGACCACCTGTATCCTGGTCCGATTGAAAATCATTTGAATTGCCAATGGGCAAGAAAGTTGGTCATCTCTTTCCTGGTACAGAATAACCAAAATAACAAATCAGAAACTTGATGAAGTCACTTCATACCAAATTTATATGGTTGACACATAAAAGCGTTGGCAATGCCATAGGAAAACGTCAAAGCATCAGCGAATCATAAATGGAATAATTTAAACACCCGCTCTGCCTAAAACTTTAGGGTGTATGTGGCTCTGGTAGTGACGGAATCGGAACGTCCAGATTTTCCCATTACCTTCGTTGAAATGATCTGAATGTTCATCGGTGCCATAATTGTTAGCCTTAAATGGATTCATGTGGATTTAAAAATTTGACCTTAAGGATTCATTCGGTACAGTTTAGTCAAGCTTGAAGTAACTGATTATTTGGCTAACACAGAGAGAGTGATCACGCATCATTTTGTAGCCTTGTGACAAAACGCCTTTTCCGGGAGAGAAGTAGGCCTACGGTACTTTCTTTATCACCACAGTTTCCTGTGAAAACTTATTCAGCAGACGGAAAATGCTGACAGTAACAGATATCGAACCATATGGGAGAAAAGTCTAAACAAATCACACTCGCTGCGTCACAATGTACGACAGAATAGCGAATAACCAACGTTTCCTATTGCCTTTCGTGATCGTCGAACACTTCATAGTAATCGATTGCAAGAATACATCCGTTTGATAGTATTCCAAGCACCAATCTACTCAAACTTGTGAAATCAATGCCTTGATTGTGAACAAGAGAAACGCCCAGTCACGCTTTTAGTGAGACGCAATTAGCATTGTCGTAAAACTCCGAAATCAATGGTTATAGCGAGGGCGAGGTTTTCTTGTAGGAATATAATGTAGGCCTACTTCCTGGTTCCGGTGTCCGCGCCAGCATGGCCCCAGTCAGTATTCACAACACCTTTGTTGTGACGCTGGGGAGCACGAAGTAAGCAGTTGTTCGGAGTGAATGGTGATTCATACACGGTAGACCTAAAATTCCGAATAGGGTAAAGTACTTCCCGTCAGTGAAGTGGCTGGTGCTCACGTGGTTGTTACACAAAGACTCGGGGATCCTTATTGGCTGGATCGTAATATTCATTTTGAAGCATTCACTTTTTAATGCATTTAACCAAACAGGAAAATAAAAGAGTTTCCATTGAAGAATGCAAAGTTGCAGAAAGACTTAGTGTAAGACAAATTCACAGCACCTACACTTTAACGTTTCCGTGAAGCGTTTCCTGCCATAGGAGTCATGTGGCATTGAATGTCACTTGTCACTCAACTACCTACACAAATGTCACTCAACTGCACTGGTTTCCTGCCGCTGGTCAGTATTTGCCCGTCAGTAGTTGATTGCTTTTTCTAAACCAAAATTGCGCAGAAACCAATAATACTAATAGTTTCGTTTTTGGCATCAGAATTTTTGTGGCTGGGTTTGCGACGTGGAATTTTTGTTTCGTCACCAGTACAGACATTATACGAGTCAATTCGACCGAATTATTGGGGACACGTAGTCGGGAAATTAAAATAAAGTGGAAAGAAAAGTATATTCCGAAAGGGGTATCTCTACTGTTGGCATGAAGGAGATTCATATGTCAAGTGACTAATTGGTTTAACAATCAGTAAACTACTGTCAAAGGCCGCGTGTCCAGATTACTTGGCTGCGGCTTTAAATTCCACACGATTCCACAGAGAGAAACACAAACCATGAACTCTTGCGTAATTTAATTCAAGCCACAACCAAACAAGTCCACCAAATGTCTGTAAAATTCTTTCCGGGAGTATTATTATCGTTCGAAGAAACTCGTTCTAAAAATTGGTCTTTCAAATCCAAAGGGCAATGCATCGTTCAGAAACTGTGAAATAAAACTGGTAACGTTGTTGGCAACGTTAGCCATTTTTGGATAATTTTTCGGAATTCTCATTTTTGAGGGCAGATGAAATGGTTAGTCATCCTGACTGAACCATTTGCTTTAGTATTAGAGTAACATACAAAATTTGATAGAAGTTTTTATATTCATGTGAAATTAGGGTAATACGATAGCCAAAGAACTACTGTAACTTCTCAAAGTATACTGCAAAGTACCAGCTTCCACGATACAAGTCTTCTAAAACTCTTAGCACCCATCTTACGAGAAAAACAAAGCGGACACGTCAAAAATATGACTGGAATAAGTGCTCGATATTGTTGAAAGGGAGTTTATTTCAACCACATACTTGTGATTGATAATAAGTGCTTGAGGGCACTTTAGGCCCAGAAATCCTGAATATCTTCATTTTCTACCAATATCTACAAGTACACTTTGCGTTTTTCAAATGTATTCATTCATTAAAACTGCTTTACTATTGCATGGAAAAAGTATGACCATGAAAAGTGTGTTACTGGAATCCAGTCCTGCCAACCTGTCGTACTCCTTCCTGAGGTCGGGCATTACCACACAATAGATTAAAATGTATTTAAATGAGCCCTCGGTTCATTTAAAATTCTGATCTATTAGGTGGTGATGCCTGACCTCAGGAAGACGTTGGCAGGTATGCTGGATATGTACAACAGAGAAAGTGGGGTTCAACGTGTGTTTTCCAGTAGTTAAGCCGCTGCCCAGGGATCTCAAAGGAGTGGGGCGAAGCTCCAAAACTCGATTCGAAAAAAGATTCCCAAAAGATTGAAAAAAATTCTGCGGTAGACCCATGCCACCGAGTTGTGCGTCTGTACACAGCGTGCATATGTGGTGGTTTTCGTGTTTTTGCACACAACTCTCTAAAACATTCCAGATGCGCATTCAAATTCAAATTGTCACCACTACAGGATGTGTGAGGTCCACAAAAATGGACCTCGGGCAGTTGAAGTCATGCTTCTCCAATTTTATTCACAGCCAAGTGTCTCGGTGGTCTCCATAATTATATCCAAGCGCTACGCCCAACCTGCATCACAGAAATTGACTTCAAATTATTCTTACTTGTTTGGCAGGTAATTTGCCTTACTTGATCACTTTGATCACTCTTGGAAATTAAAGAATGTGTTCTAAACGTACAGAACCTGATGTCGGAACTGACAGGGACATCAAACAAATTGGACCCCAGATTTATAGCCTACCCTAAAATTCTAATACTGTACACTGATATGTTGTTCACTGATGAGAACCACCTATTACTGGCGGATCCAGAAACACCCCCCAACCCGTCCATCAAACTCAGAGACTGGACTAATTTTGGCATTTTACAGCCGTTACACCATTTTAAAAACAACAAACTGGTGTGCTCCGCATCAATTAGACCACCATAACAAATATACTTTTTTGAAAACAATTAATTTGAGATCTTATTTCTGGAATATTAAAAATATACAAGACAGATAAAGTTTTAATATAAAAAAATGTTACATATTTCCAACTCATGTGCAACTTGGTAAAAGTAATAAATATTTTCGCGGCATAAGTGCGCGTGTGCATTTAGTGACAGAACTATTCTACCTTAAATTTCATTTTTAATTTGAGTTAAATTCCTATCGTCAAATTGTGAACAAGTGGATAGAAAAGAAAAGAATTATACATCAATGAAACATATACAGATTATATAAAGTGCACACTGCTTTGAAAATGTTTCCACGGCATCTGTTTCCACGGTACCTTCAGCACAATCGTTCTTCCGGTTAACGCCTCCTTGTTGAACCAAAACCTGCAAAGCACCAACCGATGTCATAAGCTGTTGTTGAAACTACAAGTGAAGACTCCAAACTTTCCACAAACCTACATGTATGAACCAAGGCTCACACAGGTATACCTATGCGTAAAACGCTCAATAATATCCACTTTTTTGTGAAGGAACAAATCAGTCTAAAGCGAAGTTGCAAGAAACAAAACATTCACCATTTCCCCCAGTTATTACCAAGTTATTTGCGACGCGTCTGTAATCTAGTTTCACACGTAAAGTGACTTTTCTGATGATGGTTTCAAAAAAATTAAAAAGTACTTTCATTGTCAAGCCCACCTCCCCAAAGAAGTTATTATGCTTCCTGTTTCTTAACCTACCCTGTTTTGACTGCGACCGTTAAATTTTTGGGGAGAAAATTTGGGGAAAATTGTGAAATTTAAAAATAAAAGAAATGAATGTGTCCATAGTGGTTTGAATGATGTAAAAAAATGTTCAACAGACTTATAAATGCACATAGCTACCTGTAGTACCCTTAACAATGTTTCTCATTTCATTTTTTATCCTTGATGAGTGTACTCATGCATATTCAGTGTAATGGCAGCCCAAAGAGTGTGCTCATGCATCTCACAAAGAAACAATGACCTGGACTCAAACGATTGTGACCTCTCTATTTACTCACCGGACGCCGTTCTGGTGCCTGAGGAACCCCCTCCGCCAAAACTTCCCCCACTGAATCCACCTCCCCTGAAGCCACTGCCCCCGCCCCCTCCAAAAAAGCCACCGGTGCTGTAGCCACGACGCCCATACGTAGGCGCGCCGTAACCGTAACCGTAGCCCCGACTGAAATAAGAAGAAAAGTGCAATATTTAGCTGTCAACAAGGATGGCGACTGGGTTTGGGGTTATTTCCTGTCTTATCTTTGTTTTGGGGAGCTGAGGTTTTTATTCCCACAGACTCATACAATGGCTTTACAAATCCAATGAATAACCGAAGCATAAAAAGCAAGATATTACGACTTGAAGAACTGGTTGGACACAAACTATCTGAATGACAGCTACAGGGATGACATCTAAGCAAAACTCAACTTCAACTTCAATGTACAAAAATGTTTATGCCAGTTAAAACAAAATTGAATAACAGGCAAATATGCATAATTTCAAAGAAACCCTAACAATTCGTAACATCTGAACTCACTTTCCTCTGCTCCCGAACAGGTATCCCAGAATTCCCCCTGTTGCAGCGCCGCTCCAAAATCCCCCTCCACCCATTCCTCCCTGTCTGCCCCCTGTTCCGAATGCCCCACCTCCCTGGGAGCCAGAGCAGCTGTCGGAGCCGTAGCCGGGACGGAAGCCTGGGGGTGGTGGGCCACCGCCCGAACCGAAGCCTGACCCGTAGCCGGTATGTCGTGGGTAGCCGTCATCAGGCCTATCTGGAGTGAAGTTACGTTAAAGATTCATGATCTATGCATTCAATCTTTTAAAATACCCCTGAAAAGGGTCTGGATGGACAACAACCTACCACAGCTATTTTTAGTGTTTGCGGGTGTTACCAACCGGGAAATTCCCTGGGGCAAGATTTTATGGGGTTTTGGGGGGGAGGGGCACTCATCAGCAGCAAACTGATAACATTTTATGGTGAAGGGTGGTTTTAGTTCCCAGGTATTTTCCAGGAAATTGGTGATTTCAATACCTTCCCTCCCTTCTCCCTTTCTTTTACTTCTTCAATTCTGCAATGTCTTCCAAAGCACCGTTGTGAATTTTTGATTGATGGGGGTGGGGGGTGGGGTGGGTTGGAATTGCTGAGATAGCCAAGGATATTTGTGGGTGCTGGTGGCAATGCAGCTACGGTAGACCCCGTAGATGATGACGCCAATTATGGCCAGCGTGATCCAGTCGCCGATGCTGGAACTCTTACGCCTGTGTCCCTGGTAACTGCTGCTGTGGTAACCGTCGTCGCCATAGTAACTGTGTTGGTTCTGGTACTTCTGCGACTGCATGCCTTCTTTAGTGAGGTCCAGCGTGTACTCCAACTGGAGTGCGAGAGAAGCACAGTTGAAAAAATGGATCAAAATTTACCGTACCTTGGAACTGAGTCCTCAGCAAATTGCAAAAGAGGCTGACCTAGTCTTGGCGGATTGCTTTCCTTCGCACGACAATACCAAAATATGTCTATTTCCAAGTGGATTGGATGCTAGAACATCACAGGTCGCTCCCCAGCTATATGCTGGTATCCGTTTATGCTCTTGGGTGGAGAGAAGCAAGCAGGGGTGAAGTGACTTGCTCTAAGACACAACTTATAGCCAGCAGTTGGACATCTGATTCTGACCATCTGATTATGAGTCACCAACCGTAATCACACTGCAAGAGCTTCTTCACAACTGATAAATGTTCACAAGTGCTGGGGTAAAACACCTGCCCTACTAATGAATTGAGAGGTGGCACCGGTTTCAGGATTTTTTGTTTTCCAGGATGGGTGAGGTTTAGTATTGGATATAAGGGGCGTCTGCTAGAGGGGTAGGAAAAGGGATAGTGATTTTGGTTGTTGAACCTTCCCACCTCCCCACAGGCACACTCTGCACACATCAAGTTTCAGATGAGCAAGAACAGGCATTACTTGTAGTTTGATTTATGTGTGTGACTGTGTGTATGAGGGGGTGTGGTTGGCAGGTTGGTGGTCGAGGATGGAATTGGGGAAAGTGGAAAATCGAGGAGTTGAAACTTCTCGAAGGACATTTGTTTCTTAGAGATGATGGTGTCATAATTGTAACTCGGCCGACTTACACCACAGGAGCCCTTCAAAACATACTCATCATCAGGGGAGTTATAGCCCTCGCAGGTCACCTCGATCTGCCCAAATCTGTAACTGTTGTCCATGTCCGTCTTACATTCCCACTGCCAAAAGAAGGAGGACTTGACTAATGAACTTTATGTACTTGTAGATGGCATTTTAGCATAAATCCAAGATTTGATTTGGCCTTTTTGGAAACATTCTAATTAGGCCGTGTAAGAAAACAAAATAGTTTCTCATCCCTTCCAATTTTTAAAACATTTTTCTATTTTTTTGTTGAATCTGAAATATGCTTTGACTTTCTATCTAAAAAGATTATGTTTTGGTATGGTGAAAAACTCTTTATGATTTAAAAACCCCACTTTCTTTTACAAAAGAACCTTAACCTTTTATTTCACTGGGCCCTATGCACTGTATGCTCAATGCCTTCTGAAAGCGTGCAGCGGAAATTTCACAGGCTTCTCTGGGCGGGGCTTGAAGCTATAACCGCCTTCTTCCTGTACGGATTTGGCTAGCCTTCATTAGTTTCTTCACTCATAGGAACCATTCCAGAATTGGGGGACGGAGAATCTAACTGGAATTCAAGTATCTTCCCTACCTGTATGTCGTAGCCGTCTGATCCTCGGTTGTAACACTGGACTACCTGGGGTCTGAAAGCTGAACATCCCGCCGATCCACCGACGCATTTCAGCTAACACATACAGAAAGTAAAGAATGTGAGTCTCAGTGTGCCACAGCAGAAAGGCAGCAATACCTGCTGTCGAGATGGCGATGGAAAAACATGCCATTTAACAGGCCATCTAAGTTTCTAAATGCAGCTTCCAAAGTATTAGCATAAGCCAGCGTGGTGGTCCGGACCATGGCAAGGCCATTTGCAAGACCAGTCAAAGGTAACTGGGTGAACTATGACATAGAATGCTGTTGTTTTGGCATTCATTGGAATAGCTTGCGGCTTAAATTCAGACTGGAGGTCTTTGCGATGGTCTTGTGAAGGTTTCAAGAGGTTTCGACTGCAACACTGGCATAAGAAAACATGCTGTAAATCACAACATTTTTGAGGGATGTTAAAACAGATTATAACAGGACAGCGATTTACAATTGTTCAGTAAACAATGAAGTATACTTCGTAACCCAAATGTCATTTTGATACCACCGGAGCACCACACCTCTGGTAAAAAGTTTGGATGTCAACACTATATCTACCAAAGCTACAAAAGTTCAGTCAATTCAATCATTAAATATTTGGGCTTTCATTTGATCAGATATTCAGTGATTCTAAATTCTTACTAAAGCAGAAACCAAATATGCCTCTTATTTGGGGGGAGGGGTTGGTCTACCTTGTTGAGTTTCAGTATTGGGGCCCATCTCCTTGTTCAGAGAAGAGGTTGGAGTCTCTAACCCTAGAAGTGAACCCCCCTAAAAACGCAAGATGTTACCTGTGGGACGGGGCTACTGCGTCTTCCCCGTGTCATTTTACTGTCGTACAGAGTGAGGACTTTGACATCGTCTAACAGGATTCGGTCACTCCCTAAAATAGTAAATTCACAGGATGGACAAATAAATGACAATCAAGGCAAAGCCTTGAAACACGCCCAAAGGTTGATCAAAAGCACACACCATGCGAAATTATTTCTGTCAGTAGTCCAGAAACGTGTCACCAACTTGGTGAGGCTCTGTAACTGGCAGCTAAAAAGTGCATCCATCTACATCTACATGTACGGTCTGATGAATAACTTAAATGTCGATTTCAACAAATGACTGAAACAACTCCGTGATCTCCCGGAAAGCTGTAGACTCTATGAAGTGCAGATTTCACTTGATGACCATAGTTCTTTCTGCTCCAAAATGTTAAGTCCTACTTCTCAAGTGAAACGAAATCCAAACATTATTTCTCTTGGACCAGCAAAAGCTAAATTGTATAAGTATACCAAAGATATTCCAAAAGATGCCGAAGTGGGATATCAAACATGTACATATATACATCAACATTGAGCTGGAAATGCAGGACATGTCGTACAAATCTAGTTTTTACATTGCTAGTGTCATGGGTGAAATGTCAAATGAGCACTTCTTTTCTTTTTAAATACTGCAGGGTGTGAGCCCTGGATGTTACAAAGTTCTTTTATCCAGATTTGCCTATTACAGTTTGGCCAGCGTAAGTGCAGCAATGTCATCGGGACCATTCCAACTACAGCCAGGGCTGGCACTGTAGTTGGGGTTGACAACACTTACCAAATCCAAAGGCGGCCACCACACAGCTTATAAAACAGAATCCCAATATACAAATAAAGCGAAGGAGGTGTGCAAGTTGCAGAGGTGCCATTCTGCAGGAAAAAATGAAAAATGATTCCATTTCAAGAAAGATGCATATTGTGTCAACAAGAACTTCATGACTAATGTCCCTGACTGCATTGTTGCTAGGTCAGTTACACCACTGATTTTTAAGTTTGATTGGTTTTCAGTAAATGTACAGTGTATGTGGCAAAATAGTGGACCTGGTGGCAATACAATCAAAGATGTTAGAATTTTCCAAGGAATCTTTCTACAAGTTAGTCAGTAAAACACTGAACTGTGACAGCCAGAATATGTTGTTTGACAAAATAGGCTATAGATCACAATGAACATTACAAACGCAAAAGCAACAGTCTGAGTTACCAAAATGCTTCAAAATTAAGTGCTGGATTGTTAAGAAGCCTACTTTGGGATAAAACTTGAGCTCAATTGGGAACCTGTAATACACACAAACTGCATTTTCAAAACGGAAAAAAACAAGTGCAGAGACTTTAATTATGACCTAAAAATACTTACATTTTATGAAGGGATTTATAAACGTTGATGTGTTACTTTTCCAAATCAGTGAAATAGGAAGTCGTTATGCATGCGGGGATCACCTATTCATCGTGTAAATGTACAGAGTTTTCAATATTACTACCGCCAAAAAGGTTTCTGTCCGATGTGCTGTCTTGATATAATATCATTATGACTGATGATGTGGACTTGCCAAGCTTGTTAAGTAGACACGGGCCTGCGCCGCCAAAGAGCCAAAGCATCTATTTAGACAGAGTTAAGCGATGACACAGATCTTAAAATAACAAGGAGCCCTGAAACGTCAAACTAGATTACATAACTATGCACTGACTAAACCTTTAAAACGGATGATGTAATGTAAGCCTAGGCATGCTAGGGCTAATGTTGGATAGCCTACAGTACAGTTCATTTCAATCCTCGCAGTTGTGTTTACATCAGCGGTACCTCCAAAGCTGACGTGTACATCCGATCACACACTCACTGACTGAGATCACCATCTAAAAATCTGCAATTCATTGATACAGTGATAGGGTATGTGTTTCCGTGGAGGGCGGTGTTGCCTAAGTTACTTGTGTTACCTCCATTGTTAACTGGCCCGACACTTACCCAACTGGTATTCGTGATATTCTAAAATCTGAAAACTCAAACCGAGTCAAAGGCTAAGCTGAATGAGTCCAAGTTGCCAGTGGGCCCTCTAGTCTTTTGATCTACCGCGTACCGACCGACGCAGCATATCCCAGAAAATAGTTTGCATTCATTCACCGAGAAGAAATAGTCCCTAAATTCGAATGATGCAAATAAGTATCATCCTATACGGTCTGCCTGTAACATAAAAAGAAAAGTACACATCTTTGTATCCAAAAATGGATATTTTGCACCGACTGATACTTTATTATAATTAATGATTTTACACAAGTAGTTCCGTTTTTTAACTCGGAATAATATTGATATGTTCCGTCTGCGTACAGTACAGGTCACAGTGGGTCAAAGTTTAACTTGGTGTTGTTTGATGGAGAGAGTTCATAATTTGCCAGTTTTCAGGCAAACCACACGCCGATAGATCCGTGAAAAGGGTTATTTACAGCTTTACGACAATGAATATTCGTTACGACAATATTGATGGCAAAGAGCCGGTCACAAAGATCCTGGAGACAACCGCAACGGGAGCTGTCTCTGGTAGGCCTGTTGGCGCTTTGGTTTTCATGGTTTTGCTAGCAAAAGCAATCATCACCAGATCACATACATGTAACCAACACAGCCTAGGCGTAGTAGGCCCTAGTACTTGGCCGGTGCATGGTGCTTCGGAAAAGTACAAACGTTACGAGAAGGATCCATGTACATCATACATGTACATGCATGTACAGACATCACAAACGTTACGAGAAGGATCCATGTACATCATACATGTACATGCATGTACAGACATCACGACTAATTTTCCCCTAAATATGTGTGATCAATGTCACTTGTCAGTCGTGACAGCAGCAGTGTAGGCCTGCATACAAAAACAAAACGATACAGTGTATAGGCCGGCCCTAGCATGTAGGCGAGGTCTTAACCTCCATTTTTTGCTGTGCCATGGCGAAAATTATGACTTCCCACTGTAGGCTATGTAGGCCTATTAACAGGATTGACTACATACAGGTATTGTACAATGTTGTAGGCCTAACTGATGATATTTAGCCGGCTACAAGTGCATGTACATGTGTATACGTGGTAGGGCCTACTGGTAGTGGTAGACAGCACCCTCTAGAATCTATGGTCATGACGGTATGGGATCAGGTCTACTCAGACTTATTCCAACTCGGACCCATGCCAACTCGGACCCACTCCAACTCGGACCCACCTTGAGTCAACTCGTACCCACTGAGTCTTATGAGTTATGGTTGCACTACACCAAAGGGTCCAGACAACTTGGCCGTTTGCCAACTCGACTTCGGACAACTCGACAGTCGAGTTGTCTCAACGGTCGAGTTGTCTGAAGTCGAGTTGGCAAACGGTCGAGTTGTCTAACATCCACACCAAATACGCGCCTGTAGACGGAAATAGCGCCAACTCTTGAACCTCGCAAAGAGGTTGGCCTTCATTTTTTTCGCTGGAAATTCAAAGTTATTTTTCTTCACTGGAAATTCAAGATTGTGGCCAGATCGATCACTTTGTTTCAATTCTACAAACTTTTTTATTCCCCTTTTCCCGAAGATACCCCCTAATAGTAGTAAAACTATGCGCTCAGCACGAAATGCCTCTATCCAAAAAAGGCCTGCAATGTGGGGCTTTTTGTGAAAGAAATACTCTGGACTGGAAACTATCAATCCCAAATTCGGGATTTATATAAATAATTCTGTGATCCCTCGAGATTATGGCACATCTTACAATGTATTGTAAAAAACTGTGGGATCACAAAATATTGATAATGAGCTCGCGAGCAGACAAACGACGCTTCAAAACTGTCTCCAAGTTTAAGACAAAAGGAAATATTCCACATTTTTATTTTAAAATGATTTGATTTGTGCTGTTTGAAATCACCAACCTATTTGCATTATTTGGACAGTCAGTTTGGGCCTGTATGGATGAATTCCTCCATCTGCCTAAATTTTGCCGGTATTGGGGGGGATTGGGCAAGGTGGAGGTATGAGACTTGCCAGGCCAAAAAAAATTTGAAAAGTGAGGTGGGGGATAACACCATGAGACACTATGAAAGGTCAGTGTTCGTGATATTGATGTATATCTGCAGTATGTGTTGTACGCATGCAGCATCTCTTATGTACAGCAGAAGGGCCTATCTGTGGCTTTTTATTGCAACAAAAACTTTGGGGGCTGTTTGGTGAAAGTTCGTTCGATTTCGTCTGGTGATCTGGAGTACCAAAAAACTTCGGAGAAAGGGCGTCAATGATTTGGTACCTGTCAATCACACTCCAAAAGCTGCTCCCGTTGGTTGTCCCAAGCTCCCACTCCCCGATCATAGGGTTTCAAGAATGGAAGGTAACAAAATCAGTCTTTGTGGTCAATCACGCCGGTACCTCGGAAGCTAATAATCAATTAAGATTCCAGATTACAAGCAGCAAATAAGACATCAAATGAAATGTGCCTCCATAAAAATACAACGCTTGTCGGTTACTTATCACTTGTTCCAAATCATCACTGATATAAAATGTAGTCCTGTACGGTTTTCAACCACCATGCCTGTTTAAACTCGAAAAAGGAGAAATTCTGGGAAGCCTGTGCCACTGTTTCCCTGCATAACGTTTAGAGAGGACGTTACATCTCGGCAGCATGCAGTGCAAAAGTGTCGTTTACCAAATGCTAAAATGTAAAAGTGGACAAAATCAAAATTTTCAACAAGTTAATCATGCTCCTGGGATTGGGTCCAAGTTGACTCAGGGTGGGTCCGAGTTGGTCGTACATGTAGGTCCGAGTTAGTATTGGGTCCGAGTTGGTTGTGGGTCGAGTTGGTCGTGGGTCCGGGTTAGTATTGGGTGCGAGTTTGCATGGATCCATTTGGTTGTGGGTCCGAGTTGGCATGGGTCCGAGTTGGTTTGGATCCGAGTCGGTTTGGATCCGAGTTGGTTTGGATCCGGGTTGACTCGAAACCTATGGTATAGGCTTACTCTAACACAGTCTAAGCTAGGGAGGCTCAGTAATTTTTCAGCTGTTTGTGTTCTGGTTTTTTTTTACATAATATTGAAGGGGAAGTTATAAGAAACATTTTGATATAAGTTGGGATTCCATTGGCCCTTGCAAAGCAAAGAAATATTAATTTTAAACTAGGGATATTTGGAGACGTTTTGGGACATTTTTTGTAGGCCTACATGTGTGATGCAGAGCAAACTGTTTTTTTTTACATAAAAATGAGTGGATTTTTACTGAAAAGTTTAAAATCCATATTTTTTCGGAAATTACATGTAAATGGAGGAGCTAGAGCATGTGGAAAAAGACAAATTTTAATCACAACTTCTTATTTCAGAAAATGAGTTCCCAAATGGACAGCGCCCTCACTAGTTTTTGCATGTCCCTAACTAAGCGTAACGGTTAGTAGACATGTTAGATTACATGTACCACCGGATTTCTACTTCTGGCAGGCATGACATGGTCTGTCGTTGATGATGACGTGTTTGAGAGCTCTTTTGAAACACTCCCAGCTGGGTTCAATTTCTAGATATCTACATGTACCTTTTTTCATCCCCCAAATTAAGAATATGTATACATATACTTCTTTTGCCAGATTTGAATTGATACCAGCATTTACATATGCATGTGCTGTACATGTAATGACAGAGTGGCATTTTCTGGGTTTTGTTTTGTTTTGTTTGATTTGTGACCCTGGATGATTTTGGAAGAAAAATTAATATCTGATTCTGGCCTTGTGAATACAAAGTCACAATAACTAGGCCTATGTTGGCATAGAACCAGATCAAGATTTGTCACAGTAAGAATTTTAAAGTCAAAACAACCACTTGCTGTACATATGTCTGGCTAAATACTGGTTAAGTTACGCCAGTGACAGCTAAATATCCACTGCCGTTTTTGATACAAACTTCTAGGCTGAAAATTAACTATCGGACTATGACTAAAGGGCTATGAAAGAAAAGGCAATTGGCTGATGGCAGAATTCTTGACAAATTATCGAAAAAATTCCACTGATTGTGCAAAAAGCTAGCATACAGTTCAACCAATTGTGACCAACAATTACGTCAATAATGTCTAAGGGAGCGTTTCATTATTGTGGAAGGCGGTATTTACTGCGGTACCACTGTTTTTTTAGCGGCACCACACTAGTTACCCAAAAGGGCTGCAAAAATACAGCGGTACCACAGTAAATACCGCCTTCTGTAATTATGAAACATTCCCTAAGCTAATCAAATTTTTAAAATTTCATGGCGATTTCACGGACAAGACAGAATTATGCTCAGAAGGTTAAGAAAGAAAAGACATCTCCTTTTTGAAGAAAATAACCTGCACAAGAAATTCTTGTTTAAGATTTTACTCAAGCTTAACTTATAATATTATAGTTACAGGTCTAGTTATGCACAGTTTTTTTGGTCATGTGTCATAGGAGCTGGACTTTCTGCAGTGGCACTGTCGATGCACTTTCCCAAGAATTTTACTGAAGCCGTCGGGAGGAGTTTAAATCACACAGCGACATTGGGTGAGTAAGGCTGAGTCAGTGAGAACAATTGAACAGCCAAATAATTGACTTTCCAGTCTGTCAAATATTCCAGTGTTCGGTCGTACATGTACACTGTAGCCGAGGGTGGGAATTTACGTTTAATTTCAAAAATATTTGAAAAACTTTCCCATACCGTTTAAACCTTTAAATGACCTACCCTTACGGCGTCATTGAAAACTTTAAACACAACAAATTGTATACAATTGACAATAATAATAGTTGAAACAAAGTTACAGAGATGAATTCATGGTATTCCTTTGATATGACTGAGCAGTTAAGTGTTCTGAAAATCAGATTACGTTTTACAGGCATTGTTTAAAATAAAAATGAACGTCAGATTACATCAAATAAAACGTCAAACCTCTAAAAGGGGCAGTTCCTTTTAAATGTTTGGAAAATCTGGAAATGAATTTGGAACTTTTCGTTTAAACATTTGAAGGAAAAACAGCCATGTTTGGCCTTATTGTTACGCATACATTAAGCTGCCTTTAGCCGTAAAAGTTTTTTTTTGGGGGGGGAGAGGAATCTGCCCCACCCCCGGCCCCCCCATGATATTTTTCAAATATTACAGCAAGTGCATGTTTTTCACAAGCAGAGCCGTTAGAAGATTTTTAGTAACTCTTTGGAGTCAATTTGTGAAAATGGGATGTACCTTTTTTGCACAGCGCCTGTTTTTTTAAGTCAGGTCAGCTGAAAATGTACATTTCCCACTGACGTGCTAAATGCTTGCGGGCTAGCATGCATGTAGCTTTGAACTGCCAATGACCATACCAACAAAACCATATGTCAGATTGAGTTTGAACTTCACATTTTGTAATGATAAGGGGTGTCTTTAATTGCTTGCCAAGTTTAAGAAAAAAAAATTGGGCAAGGGACAGCTGTGTTCTTAAGAGGGCAGGACTCTGCCCTCTTAAGAACTGGTTGTCAGAACTGCAGCCGAATTTTGCTTTCACAGTCAGCTTGATCCTCCTAGTATCCGCTGTGTAGTTTGCACTGACACATGCAATCGGTTGTAATCTCTTCTTCGCAGCGGCTCTCGGCGCTGTCTTTGGAGCAGGAACTACAATAGCGGCGTCCGTCAGGGACAAAGACGGCCCACTCAACTACTTCATCGGAGGGTGTATGGCAGGGGCAGTTCTAGGAGCCAAATGTAAGTTCTGGTGAAAGGGGTTGTGTCGAGTAAACTAATCCTGATAGGACAATCTATTCCTCGTTGTGCTGTTCTGACTGTAAAAAATGAAAGCAAAGAAAATGCACACAGACAAATATCTCCACTCCTTTCAAATCCCCTAAAAAGTTGAGGAAAGTCAGGGGTGTAATTTGTCAGGATGTGTCCTGATTTCAGGATTTTTCATCAGGATTTTCCCCGGTTTTTTCCAGGACTTTTCAAGCGATTGAGGAAATGCAGAGTTCACCATTAAGGTGTTCTTGTTGATAAAAATTGATACAGAACAACAGAAATGGTATTTTAGCCAGGTGCTTTTAAAACTGCAGTGCACACATACGGGCGGTTTTCAAGATTTTCAATGTTCTAAATTCTTCAAAAATTCATCATTTCATTTAATGGACATTTACAACCACACGAATGACTGTTTGGTGGCTACTCTAAACTGACAGGCAACCTTCATTGACTCCTGAGTATTTCAGCCAGGCCTGTGCCCTGTATTGGGAGGTGTTGCGTAATTTCCTTTGTCCCCAGTGAATGCGAGTGGCATCTTTTCAAACGTGGCTGGATTAGCATGCAACAGTGCTGTGTCGCTCATCAATGGGGCCCCGGAGCACTTCTCTCAGCAGTGCTAATCCGCGGGCACGCTATGCCCAAAACAGTGGTATACTACTTAAAAATAGAGACAGATTACCTTCGAAAATTGCCAGCCGAAAAATGATGGCAATTCCCAGCAGCAGGTCTTAACCAGCAAGTGGTTAAGGGGTGTCTGTAGGCAGACCCACATGTGTACCATAAGCCCTATGCTGCTGTGGGGCCCTTGAAACCGCTGTTGATTAGTTTGTGAATATTTCATATTCCTCCAATCTCACCTGCGGGATAGGGAGGTTGGAATGGATTGCGTTTAAATCCCTCATAAAAACAAAGGCCCAACTCCACCATTTTGGCTTGGGAGCGTCAATTGATTTCCTTTGCAACTCCTTCAAAAAATATTCAGGGCCCAACTCAAGAAAGGTGTTCTTTGAAAATCATATGCAAAGTATCATTGTTGTAAATGAGTCTATCATGGGTCATCCAGTCAATTAAAAATTGTGAGCTCATCAAGCATCCCATTTGCTAGCCCTGGACTTGTGACATGAGCAAAATAATTTGTAGTTTTCGTCATGAACAGTTTGCAACATGGATGTGCAGATGATTTTTTTTTCTGCCCCTGAACTCACTGAAACCATCACAACACCCTGCCTTGACCAAAACGGAATGTTGGTTTTTGTCTTCACCCCTAGGTGGTTTAAAATTGTGAGAAAAATGTTTTAGTCTCAAAATACCTGTAACGAGCAGAATGTGCATATCCAACCGTCTGATCTTAGGATCTTTATAAGTGAAAACTGGCCAGAGCAACTTTTATTTCTGATCTATATCTTCATTCTTTAAATTAATTCATTAAATCCTTGTAATCCTGTTTTCCTCCTTTTGGTTTGTCATTTTTCAGATCACAGTTACTCAATTGGCACAAGCACCTGCGTGGGCTTCGGTGGCTGGGCAGCCATTTACAAGTTGTGGAGAGATGAAGGGTGGGGCGATTTCATTCCCAAGCCCATCTACTAAAAATCAGCACCAAGTCAGAGACATTGAAAGGCACAGGGCTGTTGCCCAGCGGAAAAGCCAGAGTTGTCAGCAGTTCAGGGATATGTTAGATCTCCACCTAAACTCCTGTTTGAACCAACGCCTCCTGCCCTGTCCACTAGTATTTTTTTGGGTGAAAACCTCAGAGTGTGTGGAACCCCTTGTGACGTCAACATCCTAGAATGATTTTTGTGGACAGCCAATTTGTTGCATATTCTGAAGGAAATGCCAAGCATTGTGTGTAGCTATCACCTATGCTGTGTTCCTAACATGCTCTTTCTGTGTCCATGCTTGGTGGTCATGTAATTGGTTGGTGGCCTGGTGACTTCATGTCTCCAGTTATTAGCTAAATTCACCCATTGATATCACCACGTTTTGTGGCAGACAACACCGAAGATCGTATAGCGCCGAAGGCGCAAGATGGATAACTCTGTCACAAAGGTGTACATGTAATTACCATGGGCGCCATTTGAGCAAGCGATACGCCTGCGCAGTTTACGGTAATGCTTGGGCGCAGGCTCACCAGGTGCACGTGGCTGCCGCAGCGTCTGTGCATTAATGTGCATTGCGCAGGCGTATCGCTTGCTCAAATGGTACCCATGCGATTACAACGTTTCACGCGTATTCACGGTAAAGTTTGCCATCTTGCACTGCTTCGCGGCGCTATACGATCTTTGGACAACACCCACTCGGCATCTTCGTAACCTGACAGCAGCACATGCCAGACCTATTGTCACCAGACGCAACTGTTTACATATCTCTAACAGAATTCCTGAAATTCAGCAAGCAAAACGAAGAGTGGTGTAGGGATCCCTTCTGTCACATCGTACATCCAAATGTACAATGAGATTTACTGCTCAAAACTTTCCATCAGCATTCGCCGAGTTCAAATGATGTAGAGGCGCACAGGGTATCTTCTTTGAGAGTTTGGATCGACATAGCACAACCCAGGTGGAGACCTCAAGGGCAAGATTTGCATGCTATAATAGATGAGTATATGTATTGATTATTGCAGTAGTTACCCACAATTCTTAGCAATGGCTGTTTCCTGCACAGAGTCTTGTGAATGGGAATAGCCCTTTCCAGCACCCTTCACTCGGGTGATAGGTACAAGTAGAGTAACATGTAGATAAGGTTGCTTGCAAATACAAACCATCACCAGGGATGGGCTTGGTTTAAGCAGAACCTCTATGGACATGTATAAGAATGTAACTTGAGAGGGCTCTGTACAAAAGGATTGGTATCGTTTGCAAGAGTCAACGATTTTATTTCAATTTCAACGGTGGTTTCCACATATAGTACAGGTATGCCATAACCCTTGATTGGAATTTGTATGGTTACTCTCGGATATGCTTAAAACAGACATCATTTTTCTTGAATAATTTGTCATTAGTGGCAATATTTGGTTGTTTTATTCACAGATTGTAAATAAAATGTTTACAAAATCACAGGCCTCTGTAGTTTGTACTGTGTGATTTTTTTTTAATCTTAATGAAAGTCTAAACAAAAAATGGTAGAAATGTACATGTATCATACATGAAATGTGTTCATAGTGCAAAATACTTGACCGCCATTTATATAAATAAAATTTTTTTTTTAAAATACTTGGCTTAAATCCTGGGTGTTAACGTGGCAACAAGACGGTAAATGTCAATAGTTTTCATCGGAAGGAAGAAACAGAATGAAAATTACTAATGAGAGGAAGCCAAATCACTCATAGCCAACATCTTTAAAGTACTCGAGTTAGGATTTCATATAACGTCACCCCCAGGTAGCCCTTTTTTTGTGTGTGAAATAAAACTTTTCATCTGGCAATAGATGCATCTGTGTGACGGGGAATTGGTTGATGTGATACCTACAGCTCCCTGGGATGGAAATACTGACCAATGAAATTACAAGAATTACCTCATGAATAAACATGTTTACAATTCACGTCGTCTTATGATTTCTGTCTTGCATACTTCGAAAGAATGTTACCTGGTTACTGTAAAATACCCAGTGCTATACAAGCAGGAGAAGAGAAAAACAATTTGAACATGAATACTGCGTGCCTTACACACACACACACACACACTGGGACTAAAATTACGAATGCACTCAAGCATCTTAATTAGCTTTATCAGTGCCAAATGTGTACACATTCTGAGAAATACAAGATTATTGGTATTAGTCACTGCAGTCTCGTACTGTGGGCAGAAAACGCCCTACATAAATATATTGACGAATTTTGATTAACAAGTCACTGCACCACATATGGAGTACATGTACTGAAGTTTGACGTCAAAATGAACCAGGTAGTGTAGGGCAACCGAATACGCACACGTGTTGGTTCAGGTGCTGGTTCTCGTAATAACGTGTAATTCCAGAAATTCGTGCACCATTTTTTTTATGTCCTTTCACATCTGAAATGATTTTGTAAGTTCAGAACACATTTTCTTATTCCCGAGAGTGATAAATTAATGCAAATTACCTGCCAATTAAATAGTAATTGTTTGAAATCAATTCTGGTGATATTCCATGTCAAATAACAAAGGTCAGATGTAACTGGGACACAAAAATGTCACACGTTTGGACTCCAAATTTCTGAAATTACCCTAATGCCTTTCACACACAATTGTGCGTGTGATGTACAATTGTGCGCGTGATGTACATATGTTCGCTTGGGTACTTTGTTTAGCAGTGAAACACCATGTACAAAAAGCCAAGCATGTTCATATGAACAGGCAGAACGGATATATCAAACATGCCAAAGCACAACGTACATGTATTGCACACAACTTTGAAACCACCTCATAAATATCAATATACTTGCAAATGTTTTGTCCATGTATTTCTCATAGACAAAATGAATGAACATGGCGTACGTGTACTGTGCTGAACGATGAATCAGTAATGTGAGCTCTGGTAAATTCAACAGTGCCCTGGTAAAATTTTCTGTTCTATACCCTGACTGTTGTGAATTTGTTAACAGGTTTACATGTATACACTTTCTCGGGAACACGATCAGAGTCCAAAATAAAACCAAATACATGTATCACAAGTGGGAACATCTCGAGAAATGGCAATACTGTCAAAAATTACGTGCGTATCCATTGACAAATTCAAAAAGTAGAGCGACTGAAAATGTTTGCTGAGAGTAACGCCCTTCCTATATTACAAGTTTACAAATCCTCATATAAAACCAGTTTACTGACTGCTTACAGATATTTATTCTGCTTTGCAAAAATTCATGTACATGTATTTGGCAAGACAAGCTGGGTGAGAGAAGTTACTGCATACCCTTAGCAAATCGCAAAATGAAGCCCGACATACACAAATCACTGTCAGATTACACAAGTTTGTACATCAGCTGTTTCTTTTTTGAAACGTGCAACAACTCTCAAATGATGAACCAATCTGACAGTGAACTAAGATTCAATCTATGTTTCGTGTTGTACATAAACAAGCAAAAGGCTCATCACCAACACTTGCATAGCGTGCACCACAACAGGATTGCTGTCAGGCAATGTACACATGTCCCCTTCAATAATGGGTTTGCATGGCTGCCATCTTGGAAGCCAGTGCTTTTGTTCCACAGGGTATGCGGAAAGATTTCCATGTGGAACAAAACAAGGGCCCTGCAAGATGGCTACCACGCAACGCCTCTTTACAGTTGAACCTGGTTAACAGGAAGTCATTCGGACTTGGCAAATCACCTTGTTATAACAGGAGCCTTACATTGTCAGGAAAGAAAATAATGAAAAACAAAAGATTGGGACGTCAAACTTTACTTGCTATACGCAGAATCTTATATTAACAGTGCTCTTATTAACAAGGTTTGACTGTAGTTACAAGTTAAAAACTAGAGTTTAACGAAGCCATAGGGTTAAACCTTTGAAAGCAGATAAGAAGTTAGCATAGTGACAAAACTGAAGCAGGCAACAAAAAACTATGACTGTCAACCATGGAATCCATTTCAAATTCTTCGGATGAACCCAAACTGGACAAATGTGAGGTTCTGTGCGATCAGTCTTTAATTGCAACTTGCTTTGAAGGTTTTAAAATACCTGTCCAATTGCCATTTGATCTTAGTCAACTGACCAGTGCTTCATCTGTGAGAATTAAGTACAGGTTCCACAAAATTGGTCGAAAATGGAAAATGCCTCCCCCTTTCAACTTGAGGCAAAATATATACTTACAACAGACATCCTGGTTTTTAGTAGACCATTCCTTCCGAATCTGAAAATGCAGATCTGGGACACTGCTGCTAATTCACTCTAGAAAACAACCCTGCTAAAAGTAAGATTACATGTACATGTTCTTTAGTGAAAGAATTAGTCTTCTCTAGCCTGAGACATTTTTAAAACTGTCAAATGACATCTGAAAGACTCTGAAAAAGCAATTTTTATTTTAACTTCAAAGTACATTTACCAAACTCAAGGACAATGCCATGGGAAAGTACATCATACATGTAGGACTGATTTTCTCCTAGACCCTTCAGAATCCATCAAAAGATTTCTGAGGATCTGAGCAAGACTGGAGAAGGTGCGCAGAACCCAACGGCTGTTATATCTTTGGTCTGATGCCCCCACAAAGATACCATGTAAAGAATACTGAGGATTTGGGAACGTTCCCAACTTCAAGTGCTGGAAAAACTTTCTGAGTTTGGGGGTTTTGAAAGTCAGTTTGTAGGGAATTCTTGGTGATGGGACATAAGCACCTTTCCAGCAAAGAGCTAAAAATTTTCATGTTGGGTACAGGCCAGTACACACTCTATGCAAAAGGGAGCACAAAGGTGGAATTGTTCATTATACGCACTGCAAATTTCCAGAAGTTGAACACATTTCAACACCAGCAAAGTTCCCTGCAAATGCTTAGTGAAAACATCAAAGTCACTTCGCTTTTGCATCCACCTAAAGAACACGTATAAACCGGCATAACAACTCGCCCTGTAATCATTTGCCACCCGTTTCTCCAAACTTCAACTGGGCTGCTTTCTCCTTGGCTTGGCGGTGGAGCTCCTTAGCCTTGGCTTTATACTCCTCCGCAAGCTTCTCGTCTTTGGCCGTGCCGTCACCCAGCCTATACATGCGGCTCACGTTGGCGCAGCCGTACATCTGGCCCAGCTGGCAGCTGCGCAGCGTGTAGTGGAAGGCCTTGGCCAGGTCCTTCTCCACCGCCCCAAGACCCCGCAAGTACACCCCGCCTAGCTGGAAGCAGCCCTCCTGGTGGTCGCCTTCGCAGGCCCGCTGTAGGAAGGCGGCTGCCTGGGGCGGGTCCTCAGTGTCACCCCCGCTCAGTGCCACACCTGCCCCGTAGCACCCTGTCAGGTAGCCGCCTTCACAGCTCTTGACGAAATAGTCCACAGCTTTTCTTCTGTCTTTGTCTACACCTTCCAAATCAAGCAATGGGGAGAAGTAAAACGTATTGGCTATGAATGGTGCAGGCTAGAGGAATAACAAACATACATATTACCATTCTTAACTCCATGTTCCCGCGTTATGTCAAGGTATGAATAAAATTGGAGGACTGACATCTGTTAGAGTTACTTTAGTAATGCCACGCTAAGTAGCCAGTTGCTCTATGAACAAGCTCAGTAGTACATAGTACATCCAACAAAAACCAGGCAAAGTGCACCCTGCTTCTGGTTTCCAAATTCATGGAACATACAACGTAAATCTCCTGCCGCTAAAAAAACACAAGGGAGGCGAGGTTCTGAGAGTAACCAACAAAGCAGGTCCAGATAACGGCAGAAGGTAATCTTTTGGACAAGGTCATAGTCCCAACCCTGAGTTTGTAGTATGCTATGGACTCCTGTACCTTTGCCATACAAATGCAACGCTGCCAGCTTGTTACAAGACACGGCGTGGCTGTATGTGTTGCAGCTGGTAGCATACGCAGGGGCTGCCTTGCTCAAATCGCCCCTGATGCCGGCGTAGAATTCACCTAACCTGTAGCAACCTGATAGTGATGGGGGGAATACCGTTATAAGTTAAATGACATTCACCATTCAGAGTCATGAAATATCACAAAATGAACGTTCCAATCCCAAAGTTTTGGGTCCCTTTTTATTACGCTGGACAGTTGGAGAATTCAACCCTCTCCACCTACCAAAAATATTCAAATTTCTTGTAAAGGCCTATTAATTATGCTATTATATGTATTTTCCAAGGTGATGATGAATAACAAGTAGGAAACATAGGAAGAGACATGAACACTTTGAACAAGATGAAACTTGAAAGGGGACAGTCATCATACACGTCAACACTCAAGGCTGCAAATGGGAAAACATTAGGCCTACCCAAACCTTCCCCAAACATACCAAAAGTAATTTTGGACTCACTGATACATTAAAAAAGATGGCAAAAAGGCCGATTGAAGCAAATATGTAAGGGCTGACATGGTTACATATATACATGTGTGGGCTACCACAAACTGTATCACCAGGCTAGTCCTATGCACTTTCGACAGAAACTTCCAGCTAGTATTACGTTCATTATTAGTAGTATCATCATGTATTAAAATTGTACAGTATACGGACATCGATGGACACCGAATGGCATGACAGGTCGACCGCGACCGGTCATAGGCCTAGCCCTTACCTTCCCCCGATTTTTCGCGATAGCACTGGTAGTTGTATTCTGTCTCCAGATTTGCCAAATACTCCTTCACCTCCTCTTCACTCTTGAAGTTGACAGCATTCATGACTACTGTGGTTTCTTCATTATAATGCCGATCGTGGGAAAATTACGGTTTTCTGCGGCATGCACAACCTCCCCAA